GTGTGTGTGTGTGTGTGTGTTAGTGCGTGTGTTTATGTGTGAGAGAGAATGTGTAAATAAAAATACGTTTATTAATACATTTAAATGTATTTATTATATTTATTCAGTAAACAAAAAAGAGAATCAAAATAAAAAAAAAATAATATTACTGAAACATTTATTAATTTGCTTGATGTGATTTTTTTTTGTTTTTATACATTTGATACCAATTAATTTGCATTCGGCTTATAATTTGTAACATAAGTCCAATATGTAACACAAGCGCGTTCATTCGTCAATCGCAGTTTCATCAGATCATATTTGATAAAATCCATTTCCGAATGACTCACACGAATAAGTTGAGAAAAAAAATGATTAATTAGTTAATGCTAATATCTTTATAGTGTTATATTGTAGCTTTATTATTTATTATAAAAACGTTTTAATATATTTTTAATAAAATAAATACATTTTTCACGTGTTCTAATCATTTTTTTACGCACCATCGATTTACCATCCCTATAATGATCTATTATTTATCAATTTATTTATTTATATATATTAACGGGCGAAGCCCTTTACAAAAATTTAACACAAAACAATTGAATTTAGATACCATATAAAAGTGTAAACATGATAATAATACAATAATTAATACAATATATTATTATAGACTATCGCCGTTGTGTCGCAACTTTTGAACATTATGACGTAATACGCGACGGTAATGACACATTCGGTAGAATAAAGCTGCAGTCGGCGATAAATCGATCGATGAAAACGGAAAGACAAAAAAGAAAAAAACAACTGACAAGTAAAATATTAAATAATGCCGGAACGACCAATTAAGTTTTATACGCGTAAGTCATTAAATCCAATGTTTAAAATAGTTAAGAATAGAAGTTAAGTACATAGGAATAGTTAATAACCACGATACAAATGACATATATAAGTACATATACTTCAAACCGCTACGTATTGTAATTAAAATTGTCCGACTTTGGAGAGCTAGCTACAATAGCGATATTATTCTGTCGGACAGCAAAACATTACGCGTAAAAAGTGGGAAAAAAGAAATCGGAATAATTCTTGAAACGCAACTGAATGATAGCAATAATAATAAAACAATATATGGAAGGTGTGTATGGACGTAATTATACACTCGTCGTGCCATTACCGCACGACCGTAAATTACGAATTCATGATACAATGTTCCGTGTACATTTTACGGTTTAATATCACCCACGTGCAGTTGTATTTACTTAAAAATTATTATTATGTTAACGATGTCCACGAAGTCGTTCTCGACGCGGCGCACAACCTACTCGTTCTCGGTATTTCATCGCATTCACGTGTGGCTGCAGTGTGTTTATACGTTTCACCGTACTCTCGTAGTCTCATTGTTCGTCGGTAATCCAAAAATGTATAACCGCTCTTTATCGACGACTGCTACAACAAAATGTCTCGGAAGGTCCGTGTCACCATCCCCTCGCCTAAGATATTTAATTTTTTTTTTCAAACAATACGTGATTTGTATGAATTTTTCAGACAATTTTAAGAATTTTCCCGGTCTTCCGTTTAGTAACGAAAATTCCGGTGAGATATTCTGTAGTATTAGAGTTTGACGAATACATATTTTTTTTTTTTTTATCATATAAAACCGTGATACGCTATTCTTATGAATTAGTTTGATTCTTTTCAATATGTGTTAGCCTCGGAAATGGTTGAACAAACTCATTCAAATAGAGTATCAGTGTTTATAAAGAAATAAAAATTTTAATTTTTCTGGGTTTTACACAAGGAGGAATTGAAGGCACCTGTCTCACCTTATTAAATGATATATATAATTTTAAACAAATTCCGAAACCCGTCAAACAAATCCAGGGCCGTATTAGGCTGTGTAGGCTAAAGCCTAGGGCGGCAAATTTTTTTTTGGTGTGACCAAAAAACTACGTTGAGATATTATTTTTAAATATATAATATAAAAACATGCAATAATATAATATATGAAATAATATTATTAATTATAAAATATAAGAAAATATATGTGTAGGATCTAAAATGGTAAGGTGTAACAGAAATATATGACAAATAACAATATACTACGTATATTACGGTATATATTACGAATCTAGGACAAAATATCCAGTATTAAAATATCCAAGTCAAAACATCCAAGTTAAAATATCCAACGGATAAAATAACCAATGTATAGGACATAATATCCAAATAAAAAAATAATAAAAATCTGTATATCTGTACATAATTTTTTTATTTATTTTTTTTATTTAGATACATTATTCAATTTTAAATCAAAATTAACATTATTTAATATTTTATAATATATCTAGTCATAAAATAATATTAGTAAAAATAAAACTATGTTACTTTGTAACGCACTACATAAAATTTAAGATATAGTTATTATATAACATAACATATTATTAAAAATGAACAATAACGTATTCAAATAAAAAAAAATTACACAGGTAATAATAATACAGATTTTTATAATTTTTTTTATTTGGATATTTTGTCCTTAGATACTTTGTCCTAATACCATATATTACAATAGTCGACCGGGCGGAAATTCGTTGCGGTATCGGCACGGCGAATAAGCCGCGGAATAGAACGTATTAATATCATTTTATCATATTAATAGTAAATCGTGAAGGAAAGAAGCATTAAAATCTGTATCTCATAATAATTATTATAGTAGATAATGTACAATGTGGGGAAATTTCCGCGATAAGCGATGACGCCTCAAATATTATACTTAAGGGGATTCAATACTAAAATAAAATACTCGTACTAGGTTTATTATTTTGATACACATCACGCCGTAAGGAAATTGACTGGTCGTTTATTTGCATTTGTTATGAAGCAACGATTTCTTAAGCCTTATGGTATGTACTTTATTGTATCAATTATTTTATTTTAACAAGAAATTAATGTAACAAATTTAAAACGAAATGTCTTAATATACATTAAAGTAGGTTTTGTCATTAATAAGCGTTTTACCATAAAATTTGACTTATGTATTTTATCATTTCTTAAATATTAATTCGAAATTGCAAATTTAATATTAAGTACTATCATTATTATTCTATTATTATTTATTAAACATACTAATTTAATATCAAATGATATACTATTATAGGTCAACCTGACTATAAAAATGAAACGTTCTAAGTTAAGTGGAGACAAATATAGGAAATTGGCCAAGAAAAATAATTGGAAAAACAAAGATTAGCTCTAGAAAATGTCCCGAAAATTAATACACTATTTAGTAATGAATTAGTAATTACTAGCCTAACTCTGATTTGGCTACTTCAGGTTTCAATGACTGGAAAAACGCTTGTTCGAGGTTAAGACAACAAGAAAATTCTATAAATCAATCAAACTAAGGAAAGTGTTAATGTTTTATCAATTCATTTGTTTGTCATTTTATGTTATCATTTTCGTGCGATGCGTAGCGGTGCGTTACGTATCCGCAGCCCTCGTCGCACAGTGGTCAAAAAATTAAAAAAAAAAGGAAAAAATGTTGAAAATGATTATTGGAATTAAATATTTTTAAAAGTTGATTTGTATTCTATATGAGAATGAACATTTAATCTAATAGCTATTAGTTTAATAGAACCACTTTTAGTGAAGATAATACATCGCTTAATGTTTGCGATAACAAGATATAGTATTTTTCGTACACTCACAAAACTCTAAGTACTCATTTCTTCCCGACATTTGTTCGAAGATATTTAATATTTAATCGACATATTTGGTACCAGTAGAAAGCTTATAAGGTAAGGAAAATAAATTTACTAAAATTTATATTTTTATTTACCTAGAACATATTATTTTAATTAGTTAAATTATATTTAAAATACGTTTTTATTGTACATAAAAATCTAAAATAGTCGTAGTTTTTAAAAAAAGTAGCGTGAAGTAGTGTGAGAGCGTAGGTTAAGTATAATTCTATAATTTGTCCTAAATAAGATTTCATAATTTCCAGCTGCCCGTATTTGCCCAATTTTTTATAAATAATTTTTGTTTAGAATTTGTTGAATGAAATGGAGTCAAAATTAACACACCGAGATTTATACTTCAAAATATTAGATTTAAAATCTAACAAAAATTATAAAGTTGAGGCCCTCTATGATTTTGTTCTATGTAAAGTGGATTATGTGAAAGAGCAATCTGAAAATTATCAAAGTGATTTGAAAAAAAAAATTGCATATTTTTATGAACGAATTTGATAAACGATGGCAGAAATGCAATAGAACGAAAAATCGGTTTGACACAATTTTTGAAACGTGGCTAAACAAAAAATTTATTTTTTCTGAAGTTTCAAAAAGTTTACCAATGTCCCATGTAGGACGACCAAAGGTGCTTTTTTCTAAAGCGTGTGACAAGACAAAAAGGCATAAAACCCAGACATTGCGTACGTCGAACTCAACAGAAGAACTTGTTTATGCGGCACAGTTAAGTTTAAAAGAAACCGGAAATGTCGATGCTGCTAAATTATTAAAAGAAGCGACGTCTACTACTCCTACTCGTGCTCTGAACATTCAAAGAGCGTATACTGCATTTCAAAATGTTAAACCAGTTCAAATGTATTCTGAAGAAGATGCATTGGCATTAATTATAGATGCTAAACTCACCAAATCATAGTACACATTAATACGATTACAGGCAAAACAGAGAAATGCAAATATATATCCTGCATACAATAAAATACTCGAAGTGAAGTCCCAATGTTATCCCAAAAAAGACCAAGTATTAATTACAGAAATATCTGCGGAAGCAACTCTGCAATCGTTATTGAACCATACTGTACAACGAATATTTCAGTCTATTGAAAATTTATCAGCATACGAATTTAAAAATAATACAGTTGTTTTGCTTGTAAGTGGGGATTGGACGGGTCATCAGGGCTGGCCCAATATAAACAAAAATTTAATGATGTCCAGAGTGCGAGTGATAGCAATATTTTTTTGACGTCTTTCGTTCCAATTCAAATTATTATGTATTCAGGTGAATCAAAAGAGGCATTAAAAGAATTTATTTGGAAAAATCCAAGAACATCTTCAACCAAATACTGCCGACCAATTCATATACAATTTCAAAAAGAAACGACCGAATTGATACAAAACGAAGTATCAAATATATCGAATCAAATTCAAAACTTGGTATCTTCAATAGTTAATTTGGGAAATGACGATTTTGTATCAGTAAAACATGAGCTTGTGTTAACTATGATCGATGGAAAAGTATGTAATGCTATATCAGATAATAAGTCGGCACAAAAATGTTATATATGTGGTGCAGGGCCAAAAGATATGAACAATTTAAATACGATAAAACAACGTCCAATTGATCCATCAACACTTTCATTTGGTTTATCATCCTTGCATGCTTGGATAAGGTTTTTTGAATGCCTCATTCATGTTGCGTATCGATTAGGTTTTAAAAAATGGCAAGCACGGGGAGATGACCAAGAAATGTTAAAGAAAAAGAAAAAGGAAATACAAACTAAGTTTAGACAAGAATTGGGTCTGTTGATTGATCAACCTCGTCCTGGAGGAAGTGGCACGACTAATAATGGTAACACGGCCAGACGATTTTTTTCTAATCCAGACGTATCATCTTCTATAACCGGTGTTGATAAAAATATCATAGTACGATTCAAAGTTATACTTGAAGTTATATCATCAGGTGAACAAATTAAAGGTAATATAAAACAAAATAATGTCATTTAAAATAGTATCTTAGGTATTCTATTAGCTTAATAAAATAATTAATAAATAGGAAATGAATGCATAACCATTTAAAAAATATTAGTTTTCTTTATATTATTTTAGGAGTTGAATTCAATAATTATGCATTTGAGACAGCTCAATTATTCATTAGTAAATATCCATGGTTTTATCTACCAGCATCCGTTCACAAAATTTTGATTCACGGAACACAAATTGTTGAAAATGCCATATTGCCAATCGGTTTATTATCAGAAGAAGCACAGGAAGCTAAGAATAAAGATATGAAGAGGTTTAGGGAAAATAACACAAGAAAAATATCCAGAAAACATACAATGGAAGATTTATTTAATAACTTGCTCATTTCATCAGATCCACTTATTTCGAGTAGAAGAAAAATTAGCAATAAAAAATCAACCACATTATGCGATGAAGCAAAACTGCTTGTATGTATTGTAGGAGAAAATAAAGAGGATTTTTACATTAATGAGGAAAATAGTGAAGACGAATTTATGGAGTACGAATAATTAAATTGAAAACAACTAGCATATTGTGAACATTTGTATATTAAAATGTAGATTAATATATAAAAAACTAATTCGTAATTAATTTACTGTAAATAACAATGAAATAAAATATTAAATACTTTTTATTATTTGCTTAAATCAAAATATAATAAAAATCACCATGAAAATATTTTTTTCCAACTTTTTTTTTTTATGGACCACTGTGCGTCGGCGGCGGTGATAAGCCTCCGTGTGCGACTGGCCGGGTACGCAATCGCGCTGTTATCATCGCACAAAAATGTCGTTATTCCACGTCTTCAAATTTTATCGGTTATTTTTCGTGTAAGTTTCAAGTCATGCTCTCGTTTCTGTGTCTTCGTGGTGTGCACATCAAATTTCGTTTTCAAGTGTTCGTACGTCCGCAGCCATTTTCATTCAAACCACGGTTTTTTGTTGAGTAGTGTCATTTTCGTTTTGTGATTGACGTGGTTTTCGTTCATTGTTCCATTGTCCAGGGCTGTAGACCGTTGCAGTGTTTTCGTTGGTGACTGTGCTTGAGTGGTCGCACGTACCAATTCTGTGATTTATTTTTTATTGATACACTGCGGTGTGCCGTCTAAGGCAATTGTCTAATCACAGGGTTGGTGCGGTCGCGTGGATGGAACCAGCCATTTCAACATAGTCACAAGTGAGTATTGGTCGACCATATTTGTTCATTTGTGTTTTAAAGGCCGACGGGCCTGGCCGTCGTAGGCCGTTATTTATTTATATTGTATTATTTTGCATTGGCCGACATAGGCATCTACCACATTATTGTATTATTTTGCATTGGCCGACATAGACATCTACCACATTGTTGTTTATATTGCATTGGCCGACATAGGCATCTACCACATTATTGTATTATTTTATATTTTTTTATTTATATATTTATTGTTGTGCCGCTGTAGGGCCAACACTTGTATTATATTTATTATTTGGTGTGTGCCGTGTGGGCCACACCTTTCATTTATTTATTTATTTATTTCGTTTATTCATTTCATTTATCTATTTAACATTAATTTTTTTTTGCATTGCCATTATTATTATAAATTTATTATGATTACTGTTTTAACACAAATTACAACTGGCTGTGATCTTTATTATTATTATATTATTATTCTTGTATCAATTAAATTTATTATATCAATTATACAGTTCACAATTATTTTATTTTTTTTGTTAATTATTAATTATTATAAAAAATTCAAGTTGCGCCCAAGCCGCTCAATCTATTGCGAGCACTTCATGCGCTAACAGAAAGAGTAGATTCAAGATTAATGAATCGAATTGATGGGGAAAAAAAATATTGGAAAATATTTTATTGTGAATTGTTGCCGTAGTTAAATCACTTTCCTTACGGGAACTGTCTTTTTGAGGTGACGACGAGTTAATTGGTTCTTCGAAAAATGGAAATTTTCTTATGTCAGAATTAATATCTGAACTCGATCCATTTTTAGCCCAACATATTAATAAATATGGTAATGCCGGTCAGTGGCGTATTTAGGAATTTTTCATGGGGAGGGTCCAGATAATTTTCAGAATACAAAGCCATGGGGGGCTTTGCCCCCATACCCCCCCCCCCAATTACTCTTTATTACATAAAAATACCATATTTATAATACAATTTACAAATTAGTTGTAACTTTGTCATTTTTGTTCACATTTTCATTCTTTATATATTTAAATGCCAAATACCGCCAAGCAAATTTCATAAGGCACCCAGTAGCATAAATACCATAGTCCATCCAAATTCCACATATTATATAGTATACAATATAAAACATAAGTAGAAGCATTTAGCAAAATATACAACTATGGTCTTTGAGGAAAGCAAGCTTAACAACTATAGATTTCAATTATATAATCAAGATAATAATAAATTCAGATTTTAAACAGTAACATATCTGAGAATTTAATTTCTTATTCAAACTTTGCTCACCGTCTTCGTCGATAGACCTTTACAGATTTAAAGTCTCGGCAGTCTCGCTAGGGGTCGCACTACTACAAGTGGACTCTGTAGACCGAATCGCAGTGAAAAAAGTTGTTATTTTAGGTGTGTTGTTCATTTTGAATTTTTGAAAGATTAATTAAACAAAAAACGACACAGCGAAGTTTCGAATTCGAACGGTTTTGAAGATCATGTAATGCATAATCATAAATAAGAAAAACCGTCCGTCATCATTGTTATCTACCGGCTACCGCTATCATTTAATTTAATTTGATAAAAGCAGAGCGTTTGTTTAATAACCAAGAACTCGGTATTTTTTCAACCATGTTTGGTTCCAAACTGATAACGAAAAATCGTGATAACAATTGAAAATGTTGATAATACTGAAGCTTCGAAATTTTTTTACAAAATTGTTCATATCGACATATGTCATATCCTATGATATAATTTGTTTTTATTAAACATATAAAATCACAAACATTTACATGTACGAGACACGAGTCAATGGGGGGTCCAGACCCCTTGAACCCCCCCCGTAAATACGCCACTGATGCCGGTCGAGGATCAACATCATATTTATCATCAACTATTTTTGAAGAAGTCATTTCTATAATGGCGGAAAAAGTAAACAAATATTCTGTTGATAAAACTAAACGTAGAAAATATTTTTCCATTATAGTTGATTTAACTCCTGATATTACGCACATTGATTAACTTTCCTTTATTGTGAGATATGTAAATGACCAAGGTTTACCAGTTGAACAATTTCTTGAATTTATACTAAAAGCGGGTCATAAATCAACAGAGTTATTTGTTGTAGTCAATGATCTCATAAAACTTTACGGTTTGGATTGGTCCAACTGTAGGGGACAATCATATGACAACGCTAATAATATGTCCGGCAGTTATTCAGGTCTCCGAGCACGAGTTAAAGAAATAAATAATTTAATATATTTTGTTCATGTGCAGCACATTCGCTAAATTTAGTTGGAACGTACGCTGAAGATAATTCAAAAGAAACAGTTAAATATTTTGAATTAATTCAACATTTGTTTACGTTCTTTACTATTTCAACTCATCATTGGAAAATACTCAGTAATAATTTGAAATCGAGAACTCATACGTTGAAACATACATAATTTACAAGATGGTCATCAAGAAATGCAACTTGTTTGAGTATTAACAAAAATTGGTCTGAAATTATCAATGCCTAAACATATATAATGAATACTACTATATAAAATAATATGACTCGAAACGAATCATAAGGACTATTAAATAAACTCGAATCATTAGAGACTTTCTTTATGCCTATATTATGGGGTTTTCTATTGAACAGATTAAATGTAGTTAGTGAGAAGTTAAAAAAAGTTGAAATAGATTGTGGTCTCGTGATTGAGCTTTACATTTCTTTAATTCAACTTATTACAGATACTCGTGAAAATGTTGATGAATTTGAAAGAAAAGCAATTGAAAAATCTATTACAAAAAAATATAAAGATTCAAAAACTCGTAAAAAAATTAAATCAATTTTTCATGATAAAATTCGACAAAATGATTTAATTACTTCTGGAAGAGAAACATTTTAAATTGATACCTTTTTAGTAATTTTAGATCGTTTATTGAATGAACTTAACAAGAGAAGAGCTGCGTATCAACATTTTTTTTTCCATTTGATGCTCGAAAGTCTATCTCATGATGATATCGTTAAAGGAGCTACACAATTTAATGAAATATACTATGATGATATGGATTTAAATGAATTAATCAATGAATGTCTATATTTAAAAGCACATATAATACAATTGGCTGACGATAAGCAAAAAAATGTTCCCTAACTTATTCAAATTTGACATGAAGAAAACTCAATTTCAATATATCCCAACATCGAAATAGCACTCAGAATATATACATCTACAAATAGTTATCACCTAATTAAAATACTAAATTAATTTTTCTCTTTTTTTTTTGCCAATTCACATCCAACACTTCTTCCGGTTTAACTTCAATTATCCTGTTAATATTTAGGTGTTTTATATTATTATTATTATTATTATTATTTATTAACGTTCATTCGGACAAAAAGTATACGAGTACATAAATGATATCATATTAGTTATCTCACTATCTCAGGTTCATGAGGGGGGAGGGTTCTGAACCCCAAAACCACTCCATGGATACGCCACTGCACACATCACACGGTACATTTTTTGTATCATTACGGTATAACGTACGTGTTATAAATTATACCTATTATACGTGCAGCGGTTCGTTTAATTCCGAACCTCGACGTGCGCAAAAAAAGCGCAGTCGATAAACTCGTGTTACGATTCGCGTGTAAATTATGCATACGCGCGCCGTAATCATAGGTATTGAGTTTTTCGTTGCGGGGATGTTGAGAAAAAAAAACAACAGGCCGCACGCGGCTCGCCGAAAATATCGTCCTGAGCCACAACGGACGACGGGGTTCAACGTTTCGACGTGTGCAGCGTTCAAACGGTTCCCGACGGTGTTTCGGACGGACGAAAACGCCGACGCGCATCGTGGGCATGTGTGTTTTAACGTTTCATCGAACCGTGGGTCGTGCTCGCCCTTACGACGATCGTGTACACGCGCATACGATTTTCAGACAATTTTTAGAATTTTCTTGATCTTTTGATTAGTAACAAAAATTCCGGTGAGATATTCTGTAGTATATAGAGTTTTACGAATACATTTAATTTTTTTTATAAAAAACCATGATATTTGCTATTTGAACTATTTTGATTCTTTCCAAAATGCGTAAACCTAAGAAATGGTCAAACAAACTCATTCGAATAGGGTATCAGTGTTAAACAGAAAAAAAATTGGATTTTTTTGGGTTTTGCACAAGGAGGAACTGAAGGCATATATGTTATCTCGTCTCGACACTATTTTCGTGTCGCATTCGCGCCCAGATGATCGAAGCGTTACGTGTTACGAACACGACGCGAACTGTTTTGAATCGATGATTTCGTGCGTGTTTTCCACGCGAGATTTCCGTAACCACGCCGGGCAAAGGCAGAAAACTAGCGGA